TTTTTTTTTAACTGTTTTTTAGGAAAAAAATGTAGCATTCAAAACTGAGAAATACCAGCCCAAAGAGGCAGAAAAAGAAAAAAAAATTCTGACCTACCAACCGACCCATGTTTTGACACCTACATGTATAAGGGCAATACAACATCTTTTTTTTTAGGCCTTACATTGTATCTAGTGGTAATATACAGTTTCCTTACATGCAGTTTCTTGTATTGTGCCTCATATGTTTTCAAATGTTTGTACAGGACTGTTTCATTTCCTATCCTTTACAATGTAGGTCAGTGAACTTTTAATCTTGAAGCTGGCCCACATCATTTTTAAGCAATGTCTAATCTGGGATTAAGCGGGATTAAATAGGATTAACTCATCTGCTGTCAGTGCTGACTAGATCTGAATTTAAGATTTGAAGGGGCTTCCTGTATTGGATTGGATTTGGAAGAGCACATTTTAGTCTACCGTAGTTGCCAAGTCACACTTTCAAGACTTTCATACACTATGAACTTGAAGGCCCTACATGTACAATGAACATGAACTGTGTATGTACTGTATGGTGAACTTGTATGTGTGTATTTGGTAGGTACATGAAGTAGTAGTACTGTAGTAGTAATGGTTTATTGAAATAAAAATCAATCATGGCTCGAAAGCCGAATTACAGGTTTTGTACAATAGAAAAGCAAACATCAAAATTATAGGAAACCTACATGTAATACATTGTAGGTGACACCAACACTGCAATACATTACAGTGTACACTGTAGGCCAACAATGTGTATTTAAAGTTAGCTTTATTTTGGTTGCCTGTGCAGATTCACAAGTTGTATGATGCATCATAATGGATTATGTATTTGTTGCGAAGACCAATTGGAAGGTGTATGTCCCTGAAATAAGAGATGAAATGATATTTCATTAAAAACACCCCTGGATTCCAGGTAAGCATGTTATTGTACCTTGTGATTTTCCATGACCTATCAAATACTATAGAGTATAGGAGGTTGTGCTATCCTGTAATAGCAGGAAAAGGAAGGGGTGTAACATTTCAAGTAAACATCTCAGCTACATCTGTGAATGAACAAGGAAGGTTCAATGGTAATACTAATACCATCATTTATCATCCAGTTCCAAGTCCCTGCTTTGTGTTCCACAAACAATGACAAAATCATACAGGGAAAGGTCCTTTTCATATGTAGCCGCTTTTTTGTGGAACAAGTTGCCTGAACATCTGAACAGCACAGGATCCTATAAAACCTTTATCAAATCTCTGCAAACATATCTCTTCACCACTTCATAAATAATCAGAATCCTGAACTCAGTGCATTGTTTTTTTCTTTTCTTAAAGTGCATAGAGACATGCAATTTTGCCTATGTGTTATGTGCCATATAAAAATGTTTAATTATTATCAGGTGGGCTGTATCTAATACAGACCACCTTATAATTTTGTTAAAATCGCCTTTATTTATTTTTCTTAATTCTACCCACTTTTTTGTTAACAAGATAACTTTGAAATGGTTCAATCAAATACCTTGAAATTTGACACACGTATGAATAGGCATACATGTATGGACAAAACACGGTAAGGTTTTTAACCTTGACCTTGACTGATGACGTCATCAGGGCGCCATTTTGTGAAATTATCTGAAAATCAACCCATGATCATATCTTCATAACCAAAAGGTATTTCTTATTCATATTTATCATGATTAAGGTCAATATCAGTCCAGTTAGTTTCAGGTAAAAAAACACGCGTGTGCGTGTACGTCCGCACGTCAGTGCGCGCGCAAAATTTTTAAATGGAAAATAGAAAGAGGCCTAGACCCTATGTGCTATCGAAAATAAAATTTGATTATTTTTATATAAGGTCTAGGCCTAGAATCTAGACGATTTTTATAACGCTGTTTGACCATGAATGGCGCACCGTAATACCCATTTTAATGCATTGATTTGATGAAGGAACTGTATCATAGTTTAAGTATTCTATCCAGCTATAGACAATGCCAATGGCTATGTTTTTAAACGACCGTCTGATTTTGTTGTGAAAACTTTACTTTGAAAAATGATTATCGAAATTCAGCATACAACTATACATGGACAGAATAATCACAATCTAAGCTCAGGTTTCATACCTCTATAGTCACGAAACTATATTGAAATAGGGGCAATAAGAGCAATTTCAAAATGGTGTCGAGTCTACTCTATAATAGCTCAGCTCAGCTCACCTCACCTCACACACAGTCACAGTTCCGGCAGTGCTCGGCAGCAGTGGCGCACTGCACTGCCCGTGCCTCACGGCAGCTAGCTTGCAACTGAACTGTCAGTTACGATGAATTTCTTGTGAAAACTTTACTTTGAAGAATGATCTTCAAAATTCAGTAAACATGAACAGGATAATACCAAAGTAACCCTACTTGCATACCTCTATTCACGTAAACTATATATAAATCACGGCAATCATCATAGAATCAAAGACGAAGCGACTGAGCTGTGCGTGTGACGGTGAGCGTAGAATCATCGCATACATTATACACGTACGTTCGTACACGCAGCAGGTCCGGCTGGCCTACAAAGCATATATAAAAAGACGCATAACACGGGTAAGCCCAACCCGTGAGAGCGTGCATTTTTACATCCCCTCACCGGGTGAGTCATCTGTTAATGTGTATTTCTCTTACATGCTACATAGCGTATCCTATAGCAAGAGGCCTAAACTCGGGGTAAGTCACACCCGTTACTACGTGATGTGCTACACCCATTGACAGAAGTGGATTCTCGTCCGCTGTGTGTCTCTTTGTTGATTGCACAGAGGGCGGATGCACACCTTCCCGACTCGCTCTCACAGGTTCGACGCCTCCTTGCAATCCACCACGCCCGCAGTGCTCTCGTCCGCCCGTCCTCCCCGGAACCCCGAAAACGCGTTTAACGGCATGGACGTCGATCGCGGGGTCGACGTGGCATGCGGGTTACGGGAGACAGGCCTCGTGTAATTGTGCCGCTGTCCCCGCGCCCCAGCGGAGGCGGGCGCGGTCGGGGAAAGACGTTTTTGAGGAACTGTTTTGGCCCGTTTTGGACCCCCGCGGCGATTTTGTGTATTAATAATATAGATAGATATTACATTTAACATAAGATTGCTTGCAGTTTAAAGCAAACTTTTACATGTAAGTTTCAAAAAGCATGCTTATCCCCTGTCCAGGTGCCCAAGGTGCTAAACTACATGTGCAGGATAACCTTTTCAGTCAGTGATGTTTCCGCACAAGAGTAAACGGGAGCGCAAAACATTGCAATTTTTTTTCTAAATGAGGTATTTGAAATGCGCCTACTATCTTGTGACAGTGGATTATATGGAAGGGTAACCTGGTCATAGACCAGTGAATTGCTAAGATATGATGGGACATTAACCTTTAATTCAACCCATTATAGGTGAAGGCCTGAGGGCTTTTCATTCATACATATCAGTAGGGTGTGACCATTGTCTCGCTCTGTTTATTATCCGTTGTGATTAATGATACCAAAACAATTCTTCATTAATATAGTATGCCCCGTAAAAATTCCTGATTTTAGTGTCCATCACCTTTATAAATCATAAAAACCTAAAAACGTGTCCTGTATACATGTATGTACATGTACATGTACAATTGTAGGCCTGGCTATAGTGTATTGTCTGTTTGGAACCACAAGGGCGCCAACACATTCGTTTTTAAACTGTAAACAAATAACCTGTATTAATGGACACTGTACATACTGAAGAATAGGCCAAATTTGAATGAACATACATGTACATGTATGGTTTTAACTTTTAAGACTTATTGTTTATTTAAAAAAAAACACCTTTAGATGGACAAATTCATGAACAGTACCCTGGGAGAGAAATAATTGAGATTCTGCAATCTGGGCTATCATGACCATCTTAAACACTGCATCTTATCAAGAGGAAAATGATTTTAATCACATTCTGTCTGAATAATAGATTATTTCCACATGCTTACTAATACTGCACATGAATGATGCAGTCAAGACAATCTGTAGTCTGCTCATACAGACTCTATAATTTGATGCATACAAGATTTTCACTTTGTCTGAAGTAAAGCGTTTTTAATGTAGTCTATGCAGTTCAGACACTGTGCCATATGCAGTGACTGACAGTGGTCCAGCCATGTATCTACTAATAGACTACTGTGGTTTTATTCTACAATCCTGTCTGAATATCAAGCCTGTATCTTCTTTGTAGTTCATGTAGGTCCATGATCCAATAGAGCGGTGTGGTCAATCACTCAATGTGAGTAACATGTAGTCTATAAATATGAACATGTACATGTACATCGTACGTAATACAGACCCTCAGCTGAAATTCCTGTACATTACATGTACATGTACATGTACAGGTACAGGTACATGTAAAGTATTAAGTCTTCATACAGTACGTCGAGCTCATAAATATCAGTTCCTTTTTGTACAAGTGATAATTGATGACTATTTGGAGCTTTAAAATAATAAATCTGAATCATTGATTTATTTTGGTTTAAAAAAAAAGTTTGCAAATTGCTTGTGCTTTACATGTACATGTACGTGTACATTGTATACCAGCATCCTGTCTGTCGCGGTTAACAAGTCCTTGTTTTGTGACACATTGTAGATATTGTGAGCATCTAGACTGACCCTGTTCTTAGGGGTTATTCACAGGTCATTAGTTACAGGTTTTCAAATCTTCTTATGATTGATAGAAAAAATCTATTCAAACTAACAACAAAGCAACTAAACCATAATAAGGCTTACTTCAATCACAGAAAAGTAGCTTAAACATTTAAAGATTGGACTTAATCAGGAGGGTCGAGCCATTTGAAAAAGAGATGTTATTGATGATAGAGGCAGGATATACCTCGCTAGGAAGTCCACTTCCCTTTCTCATGACACGGCTCTCTATTACACGGAAATTCTTCAAGACAAGAAATAGAAATTAATGGAAAATAAGAACTTCCTGCGGTGCTGGCATGCGTGGATTGTAAAGGAAGTTAAGGAGTCCCAAGCGATTGGAGTGGAGAGCACACAGGGGTGCTCAAGCTACTAACTATTTTCATCAATTGTTTTCTAAGAGGGAGAACTATGTTTACAGGTCCTGTAGCGATATGACATGTGCTTTAGGCATTACCGAATCAGCGTACTCCCACCAGTTGGCCTGAAACCCCCTTACTACATCAATCATCTAGGCGCACACATTCCAAAGGTCGTTCATTACCGGAGTCAAGGAAAGAAAATAAAGGAGAAGTTTGGGTCGGTTGGATCAGCAAACTCCTTTTATTGTGTGTTCTACCTCTGAGACGTAGACGGTGAGCACTACGTGTGCTTGTTGTTTGGTGAAGTTGTAGTTTGATGCGGGACTCTTCATAATAGATTCTCTGTAAAGGGAGATGGTGGAGACGTGGACATGGAGTCCTCTCAGATCCCTGTGACTCGATACCAGACTCTTCTTAGGATCCAATTTGGAACATTAATCCAGGCCAAATCTAACAGACAAGATACGAACACAGTGTTGACGGTGTGTTATCCGGAGGAGAAGAAGGAAGAAAGCACCCAAGATTCAAACCCAGTCTTCTATTTCAGGGTGAGCTTGTTGTTGTTGTTGTGGATGATTTTCGCCAGGCAATGTGAGAGCGCATACATGTACCTGTCCTCTCTTGGTATTTTTGTAAATCGCTGCCTAAAACAACTCAAACTTTCCTCAAAATGTTGGACAAAGTTTATCTGAAGATGATGTGTTGCTCTAAAAGTCATCACACAGGGTGTACATCAGTGTAGAATATAGTGAGAGAAAAACAAATTAAGGCAGAGAGCTATGAATCATGTGTAGCTCAGGAATTTAGGAAAAAAAACCTAACAAAGTAGCCTGGGCAAATTAATGTCTCACTTGTTTTAAAATACTGAAATATTTTCCTTGATCAATTATTAAGTATTCAATTCATGTACATTTAATACAAGTACACACAATGTACATTTTGAGGATAACATAAGTTAACATTTATGTACATGTACAGCAAATAAATCACCTTTGTTATGCACACAAGTCATACAAAACACCAAACAGAAATGGAAAAATGAAAAACAATTGTTTAATAGTTGACAATGTAGTACGAGCATTCAATAGCCTTGGGTGTTTGTACAAATAATGTGTACACTATTGTGTTATTTTGATTGCATATTATAGACCCATTTTGACATTGTTTGTTTTCATACTTCATGTGTTTGGGATGACATGCATTCTTTCATTAGGTACAATGTACTGTACATGTTCAAAGTTCAAACTTCAAATCTGAGCTTTAATAGCAGAGCTTTAATAGCAGACCTGCACGTAAACATTGAATAATTAATTTGGTTTGTGCAAACACACTCACGTTTAATTATCCACTCCCTGTCTGAGTCATTGGCTTGTACTGTACCTACGTTGAATTGTCAACCAGGATATGTACACTATGCATACCGGTACGTGTACCTGTCACTGTACACAAGACACTGTAATCTAATTCAACTATTGTTTAAATATAATTCAATTTATTAGATAGATTTGATTTATATTTCATTCTATTGATTGTCCACTATAAGAGTTGTGTCTTTATACAAGGTAAAACAACTTTAATAGATTTATTGAAGTAATTTTGTTAGAATTTTGTATGCGTCACTAAGCTATCATGCCTATGATATTCATTTCATCTCAGATTAATATATTTTGTTTTACTTTATCAGCATAGAACACTGTACATTGAACCACACAACTACTCCTCTTTATTTCATGTCCATCCCTCCCCCCCCCCCTAAAAAAAAAAAAAACCCCAGAAAACGCAACAAATTAACACGAATTTGCGGTACAACATGCATGTAATTTATTTGGGTAATTCATGTAATTTAACAGACAATATGCATATAACTTTCAAAAATAGACATACATTTGTACAGTGTAGACTTTTCCTTTTCATACATGTAGCATTGTGTGTATCTTGGTCATCGAAAAGGGGGCATGAGAATAAGGCTGTAAAGTGTAAATGCCCTCCAACATACATGTACATAAAAGGTCCCTTTTCCATCTAGTGCACAATGTATTTTATCCAAGGATGAAAGATCTAGATCATTCACTACTATTGATAGTGGATAGTGATACCATCATACCAGAGAACCAGAGGACCAATACTAATGTAGCCATGGTTATATCATTTTTTGATCAAATGAATAAATCCGGTTATACATGTTGAAACATTTAGAATTGTGCAAGATTGTGTTGGCTGCTCAAGCTAAATGAATTCTTCTTCTTTTTCCTCGGTAAATGCTACTTCATTTTATACATGAAGGTCCATTTTGATTGTGTGGATAAGGTTTCAAGGCTTATTGTTACATGTACATGTGTATACACCTGTACATGTATGTTAAATGTATGCAACCTCAAGGACATTGTCTTCCTTTAATACATGTAACAAAACACTTTAATTGCTAGACTTCCTTGTATGAATTGGGCCAATGTACATTCACCAAACATACAGTCATGCCTACAGTACATATCCCTGTACAGTGTACATGAAGTTAGGGCAAACGTGTACAGTAATCAAGAGGTGTACGCCTATACATATGAATGAATGCCATCAATGTTCACTGGGCCTTTGATTTATGGAGTTTGCACAATGCACTGTATGCACACGTGTATACATTATTCAGTTTCCCTCTCTTTGTGGTTGAAGGAAGTGTGCTCTGATTACAAATCAATGACCGTGATATATATTCACTTTTGGTTTCAAGTTTCAACATTTTGATAAAGCTTGATTTATGTTTCTCTCATTAATATAAAACATGAGTTCCTGTTTACAATAATGGTCATATTTTAGTTGCATGGAGAAATTACATGTACAGTGTACATTGCAATTAGGAGAAAAAAATGTGCTCACTGATCTTGCTGTTTGTTGAATCAGTGCTTAACATGCTATTGTGAAAGTTTTAAACTGATTTTGCACAAGGATAATATATTATAACTTCCAGGTGAAGATATTTATTCGACCAGTAGCAGTTGTGTAGAAGCATACTGTCATGGTTTAATAGCTAACTTTCCATGTGCAGTACAGGTGTATCCAGAATCCAGAGTGAACGAACATACTGTACAATGTGAATTGTGATTGGGGAAAGGAGGGGAGGGGGGGGGGGAGGGTAGTCTCTAGCCTTAAAACCAGACTAGCTTGATGAGAATGAGTGGGAATATGTACAGTGTAGGTACTAGGTAATCTAATTTCATCCTGGGTACCGTTAGGTGACACAAGCAAGCTGTACTCTGGAGAGTGGAGCGCTGGCTGCATTGGGGAGTCTACAGACAGACATACGGTCCAAGCCAGTTCTCATTGTAAATGAGATTCACAGAAGTTTGAAAGGACATGTGAAAAGCAGACAAAAGAGGTCCTGTCATGCCACACCAACCATATACTCAGAATAAGATTGCAAGAATTATCAAAAAGTAGGACAACAAAGTTATTCTTACGCACCATACATGGGTGTACATGCTTTTGTCATTTCTCCTTTTTTTTTTAAAGGGGGAGGCCAACCTGATAGTAAGTTGGTTTTAATAGAAGCAGACAAATATTGTGAGCTCCTGTCCCATTTGCTTGGTATAGAAACCTGAATAAACTTTCATTTTCTTTGTTATTGATGATTGGATAGATTTGTTTTCATACAGGGGTTGTATACAAAAACAAATTTGCAAAAATTAGATTTAGGGTGAATGTATGATTGGAAATTTTCTTTCTAAGAGTAAAAATAGAAACATCTGATATTTTAGTAGTACATATACATAGCGAATGGGAGGGGAGCTCGCAAGATACGTCACAGAGTTGCTAATTTGTGTTTGATTGATCGCACCTACAAAAATTGATAACTTTCTTATTTTTAATCAGATATATATATATATATATATATATATATATATAGCTCAAACTTTCATTGATCTGTTCTCTTTTTTCTTTCTTTTTTTATTAAAATGAACTTAATATCAGGATGGACCTTCCCTTTAAATGAATTCCAGAAAAAAATACTAACATGTTGTGATGTTGGTGGTCTTGTACACTCACACTGTTGAGTTGAGTAGGTGAATGTGATGGACTGAGTGTAATTTGGTCTGAAATACAGAATGCAGTTAACCACTCAGCACCATACTGTGAAAGATATTTCATAAATTGATAATCATTTAGCCTGACTTCCAGGCACCTGTAAATTATTTGTTCAACAAATACATGTCGTATTTTAAACAGGCACACATGTGTAGTCTCGGTCATGCTTAATTACTTCAAGGAGAGCTAAATGCTATTGGTATTACTCTTATTATTAGATGTGCATTGACAGTGGGAGATGGATAAACATAGTACACCTGAATGCAAGACCAACAACATCTCTTTGGTTCAGCATGGTGTGCTAAGCCAGCATGATTTGACTTCACCAGTATGGAATGGCTGCCTCAACTAATTGCAATTTCATGCTCAAGTTCTTTCTGCATATGGGGTAGTTGGTAATACTACTTGGGATGAAAATGAAATGATGAACTACACTGTAAGCCTAAGGAATAGTAGATAGTACAATTTTAGCTAGGGTTCTAGCCAATGAAAAAAATACACGGGGGCTAGGGGCGAAAGAGCCCCAGTAAATTTGCATAGAGTTCAATGCAAAACAAATTTTAGAATGTTATTTTCATGCAGGCAAGCTTGAAAAGTAGCCCCTGGAAAATAAATATTACTTTTTTCCCTGGTTCTACCCCCTATCATAATGAGCTGACTCTGCCTCTGTACTGGATCTGGTTGAACTTGTACTTGTCTATAAACAGAGGCTATATAACTGGGAGTTTAATTGAAGTATGTACATGTACTGTAGGTAGGCCGGGTGAATGAACTTCTTTAGGTATTGATTTCCAAGTCAATATTGAAGGGGATATCGGGTGATAGAGCCAGAGGGCTCAAACTATCAACTCTTTCTGATCTCATTCACAAAGTTGTCTATCCATACAGGTATTGCCAAATAGTAAAAGTACATGTATCTAGGCATGCCAAAGAGATACCAGCACTCTTTGGGCATACACTGTACCTTCACAGTAGTTCAGTATGCACTGAAACAAAATATAGAGTGAGACTTCACCTCTCCAATGCCCCCCCCCCTCTCTCTCTCTGTCTCTCTCTCTGGTCTATTGTTTCTGACACAATCATTTGGTTGATGATGTCACAATGCTTGATTGGGTGACCTTGTCCTCAAGAATTCAGTTCAAGGTCAGCTTCTCACCCAATGCACAGACACAGCATGTATGCCCTGGGATTATGTGGTTAGGTCTTTGTACATTATGCACAGCCCATGATTACATGTGTGTGCTCTAGGAGTTGTGTGTATGTGTGCAGTTGATATTCAGCTCACATTGCACAAACCACACGGTACACACACACACACACATGAATACAGACCCCACATTGTAGGGCCACTTCAATCCAGGGAGCTCTGTTTTGTTTACAAACAATGGACATTGTAGTTTTTTATTACATGGATGGAAAGGAGAGTGAAGATTGCAATTAGCTTATTGTCTTTATTGTACAGCTACAATCA